CCCCCCCCCCCCCCCCCCCCCGGGCATTTTGCAGGGGCTTCTAAGGGTATGCAGGGTATGCAGATGTGTAGCTTGAGGATCCCAGGTCTGGCGTTCACTAGGCTGGGTTTGCAGATATCACAACATCTGAAGCTTCAGAACCCTACACCCTAAACCCTAAGAACAGCAGCGGACCTTGCAGAACTAGATTTGTACACCTAACATCTGGCCTGGCAGCCTGAAGTCGTGGCCCCAAGAGGCCCGAAACCCAGGGTTTAGGGCTTTGGGGTATTAGGGCTTTTTAGGGCTTTTAGGGTTTAGGGGTTTAGGGTTCAGGGTGGGTTTAACAAGCCCTACAGGCCCTAAAAGCCTTAAAAGCTCCACCCAGAACCCTGTGGCCCCCAAGAAGGACCAGTGGGGACGCGCGGAGGCCTTCCTGGTCCGGGCTCGTGAAAGGCCCGAGGAGCGACCCTTTGCCGGATGTTGTGCAAACAGTGAATTCTAATTCTAATTCGACTGTATTCGAATTCTAGTCTATTCTACTTCTAGTCTGTTCCATTACAAGTCTATTCTAGTGTGATTCTATAGTCTCATTCTATTCTAGTTTATTCTAGTCCAGTCTACTCTATTCTAATCTGGTCTATTCTATTCTAGTCTGTGCTAGTGTAGTATAGTTTAGTGAAATGTGATGTAGTATAGCATGGTGTAGTAAAGTCTAGTCCAGTCTAGTCTGGTCTAGTCTAGTCTCATATATAAGTCATGTTATGCTGCATGGTTTTACATTACAGTCATTACAGTGTACATACACTTGCAAAATGATACAATATTATATCATATCATACTTTACTATATTAGGTCATATCATATTATATTATATTATATTATATTATATTATATTATATTATATTATATTATATTATATTATATTATATTATACTATACTATATTACATTATACTATATGACATTACATTACGTTATGGTATATTGTATTATGTTATATTGTATTATATTACATCAATATTATCTAATCTTATATTATAATATATTATATTACATTATACTACGTTACATTACATTATATTACATAAAATAATATAGTATATTATATTATCTGGTTTTATTTTATATTATACTATTCTATATTAAGTTCCTTTATCTTATCTTATTGGTATTATATTATATGATGTGGTATTATATTTTACTATACTATATCATATTATATTTTGTTATATAAAATTCTGTCCTTTTTTTTATATTTTTTATTTTTTTGATGTTATGGCATCTTATTCTCTTGTGTCACGCTGTATTATATTAGGTTCTACTGTATTCTGCCATGTTATGCTTTTAAACATATTGTATTGTGTTATTTTGCAATTTTAGTTGGTATCATAATATATAACAGCACTATACTGTACTATATTATACTGTCTTCGACTTTCTTGTAAGAATACTATGCCACATTCCACTACAGTTTATTTAATACTAGATTGTGTATTATTATACTGTATTGTGTGATATTATATGGTACTATATTACATTACATTATACTACATTATATCATGTTACAGATGCCAGATTATACTGTGGAATAATCTATATTGTAACATATTATGCGCTGTTCTGTTATTTTATGATATTTTATTCTATATCCGACTGTTTATGTAATGTATTTTCTCGTTATAATATACTGTCATAATATTCTTTTTATATCGGATTATATTGTATTGTATTTCTTTGTCCAACTTCACTTTCTATACAATATTGTTTTTTCTTTCGGCATATTCAACTGCACTATACTATAATACTTGTTATTAGACATTACAGTGTATCATATTTAAACATATTGTATTAGATTATATGATATTGTTGTACATTATACTATATGCAACCAAAATGCACAAAAAGGGCTATGAGAGGCTTATCTAGCCGATGAGTTAGAAGAACGAGAAGAAGAGGGCGGAAAGACATAGGGAGCAGGGTCAGGCAGTTGGACGACGACGAGCATAGGCCCCGATGTTCATGGTGGAACGGTTGTCCTTTTTCTATTGCGTAGTGAGGCATACTCACCTTCTTTCTCTCCAAAGCAATCGCCGCTGTTGAACCCAGGAATTGTTTTCGTCGGGCATGGTGGCTTCTGGGAACGAGCCCCCCACTCAGAAGGGCGACTGTGAGGCGTCAGAATCGAATGCTGCGGGATTCGCTCAGAAGCAGCCCGCGCACAGCCGCGCCCTAAAGTCCACAGAGCTGAGCGGAGTACTGACATGTGTTGACGATGCTGCTCATCTAAGGTTCTGGGCCGATACCTCTCCAACTGCGAAGTGATCTTCTGTGAGCGTTCCTTGTCGTAGCCAAGGGTCCTGGTTCTCAAGGCGACGTGGAGCCGGCAAATGGGTAGCTGCGGCGAAAAACCTGCATCTGTGAGTGATTGTAGGGAGGCTGCGGTCGGGGTGAAGCATGGAAGCGGAGGCTGCATTGCACATTGCAATCTCCGCTTGCGATTGCGCAACTGGGAGAATCCTGAAGTTTATCATAACCGACAAGGTATACGCACATATGTACACATACGCATGTTTGTGTGTATTTTAGCTGTATATGAATGATAGTATATGGTGTATAGCGCAGTATACAGCATACAGATTGTAGTTCTGTAGCATATCATGTCGTGCATAGTATGTAGTTGCATCATAGTTTCGTTTCTTATACATAGCTTATAATTATACTATACTAGTGCATGTGTGAAAAGTTGCTTCCAAGCCTCCACCTCGCCGGAACATTGCAGACGGCTCTGAAGATGTGCACGGCCAGCATTCGTCCACATGGCTGCCCTGTGCCATTTTCTAGGATGTACTTTGGAGCATCATAGATACTAGAGTATAGTATACAGTTTATAATGTATAAGATGTGAAGGCGTAAAATGCGATGTAATTGCGTCATCGTCTCCTGTGAGAGGAAGCATCAAACACTCTGTTTCGGAGAGCCATGTCCAGTGCAACCATGGATCCCCCGACAAACTTGCCGTCACTCGGCTTGGAGGTTGTTGACGATGGCGATGAGAGCTAGGTTGCAGGTGCAACTACGGTTAATCTGGCATCATCACGCGCTAGTCACTTTAGTTGCTGTAGCCATTGGTTATATCCAGCATTGCTGCTATCGCAATTTCTGCTAGCATTAGTATGTTCAGTAATTTTTGGTATGGTGGTGGTGATGCCTCTTGCCTACTGCTGCTTCTGAGATGGTCATGCAGCTCTGGTGGTGGTGGTGGTGGTTTTGGTGGTGGTGGCGGTGGCTTGTTGTTGTTGTTGTTGCTGTTGCTGGTGCTTTGTGCCGGCGGTAGTGGCATTGTGGATATCTTTCGTTGTCGTCGTTCTGTTGTCACTGTCCTTTCCCTTGTCCTTGTTATTGCCCTTGTCCTTGTTTCTTGTTCTTGCTCTTGTTCTGGTTCTTGTGCTTGTGCTTGCTGTTGTTGTTGTTGCTGTTGNNGTCGTTGTTGTTGTTGTTGTTACTGTTGTTCGCGTTCTTGTTATTGTTCTTGCTGTCGCTGCTGCCGCTTCTGCCGCTGCTGCCGCGGCTGCTGCTCTTCCTGCTCTTGCTGCTGCTGCTCTTGCTGTCCGTGGTGTGCTACTCGGCCCCGTCAATATTTTTTCGTTCGAGCAAAATGAACTGAGGCCAATGCCGAAGCCCAACAAGCAGAAAAGGGTGATGCAGGCAGGGACAGGCTTTTTGCTCGGTGGCGCCGCTGCTGCGGCATTCATTGCAACAACGTGTCTTGTCTTTCTCTTAGTATGCGCTGTCGCATATACCTCGACAGAATGGCGGATAGCGGCGCACGAGAATGTGTAACACACCGCACCAAGTGTATGTATGTACGTCCTGTCTACATGTCTGTCTCTGTCTGGCTGTCTGCCTGTCTGTATGCATGTTTGTACGTATTTATGTACACAGACAGCATCTTCAAGTATATAGTGGAAAAGTGTTGGACCTGAGGATTGGCAGCCTGTCGCTTCTTGACACCGGCTCAGCGGTGACTTCGGTGTTATCTGTTCTCGTCATCACAGAGTCGGTTGTGGCATTTGGCTGTTGGCTTGCCATCATGATGGTCGACCCTGGCACAGTCAAGAGGTCAGCCGAGACCACAGAACCGATGCCAGGAAAAATCGTGAGCCATCTTGCCAGTGGAGAACCTATGGACTCGCTCCCGATGCTCGTGGTTGAGGATGGAGAGATCTTCTGTACTCAGTGTCTCGTTTGGCGCAGAAAGACCTCTCTGAAAGACTTCACAACCGTGGCTCATTGGACCTGCTGTGTGCCACGACGACGCTATGTGGAGCTGTGCGGTCACCACTGTGAGATCTGTAACCGCTGTGTTCCAGATTTCCACGGACACTCTAACATGCTCGGGACCTGCATCTCCAACAGGAACATCTACTTCTTGGCAGTGCTGCTCTTCATGGGCGGGCTGGGCTTCATGACGGCCTTGAGCTCGGTGTTCATCGTCTTCTTCCAGCGCGACAAGTGACTTGCCTCCCCATAGTAGCCGAGCTAGATGAGACGCATGAATCTGTTCCCTCAGAGCGTCGGCCTTTTTTAGCGGCTTGCATGGGGTTTGAAATTAAGTAGCGTTGATCACGTCCATCCCGGTGCGAATATCTGAAGGATTCCTTTCGCGCGGGATATTTTTGCTTCAGACGGACCGTCTAAGCGATGCAACCGTCGCAGCAAGAGCTGGGACATTTTGATTCGTTTGCTCCTCAATTCTTGTCCTGCACTTATACCCCCTTCGGTGAGCAAGATTGGAAAAGACCGAACTGATGAATGGACAGGCTCGGAGCAGGGTTGCTCATGAGCAGTGCAGGCCCTGTTGCAAGATGGTACTTCTGCGCACTGGAAAATCGAAGCTTCAGAGTGGGCTGCTGAATGCAGGTGTGTCACGGCCAAGACGGCTGGGGCAGCACCAAGCCTCCGTCCTATGCTTTCTGGCTTCGGACTCAACAGATGACAGCTTATGCGGCCCGGCGCAGAGGAATTCCTGAGCCCTCTGCGTGTGAGAAAGCATCCTCAGGTCATGCCGAGAAACCCCTTGGCGGAGACCCTGCACATCCCGCGAATCGCGAAAGCTGCGGAGTCCGGAGAAGGCAAGCAGCGCGTGAGTCAATGGTTGTTGCTGAAGCTATCATGGCACTAGAAAGGTACAGGTCTAGATTACAGGGTAGTATTAGAAGGTGCTATTCATTATAGGGTGCCATTGTACTAGAAAGGTACAGGTTTAGATTACAGGGTAGTATTAGAAGG